AACAATGTCATGTGATCACGTTGCTGAGTTACCATTAACCGTCACGATGCCTCAGTGTGTATGGAGTTTAACTCATGAGTGGATCAACTTTTGTTGGTCTACGAAACAGGCTGTATTAAAATCCATATGTGCGTAACTTGAGTAGTCCATTTGCTACGATATATATATATATATTTGTTGTTGTTGTTGTTAATGTTCTTTTTTTGTCTTTGTTGTTTTGTTTTTGTTTTGTTTTTTTGTTTTTTTGAAGAGAAACAATTGATCTGTCTGGTGCAAAACTGAATAGCATATCTTATGTTCCTCTCTGCCAATCAGATACAAGCGTTAGTCATACATATTACTACGTATTGAGCCTTGTATAACTGTTTTGCTTTGATACAAATATAGAAAAAATGTTGATTAGGTTATTTATAGCTTGTTCTTTTCTGCGTTTGTTACAGGGAAAAATACTCCGACAGTTGAAAAAAGTGAGAATGACTCGAAGGGAACAGAGCTGAGAGACTTTTAGATGGATGAATTAAATGGAATAAATAGTGAAAAGACTAAGTCCCTTCCGTTCATCAATTAAAGATAGATAGATAGATAGATAGATAGATAGATAGATAGATACATAGACAAATAGATGGGTAGATAGATAGTTTAATAACATAGATAAATTGCAGCCACAAAGGCTGAATTGAATACTATTTACAGTAAAGGCAATTTACAATACAAAGGTCCATTTATAAAGTGACGGGAAAATTATCTTTTCGATTCTAGCGATTGTCATTAATACCTTGGCACATGGCCCGAATAAAACTGTTCTTAAAACGGTTCGTACGAAACCGTTGTAACTGAAAAGTTCTTGATCTTCTTAGCTTGTATGATCCTTGGTGGCGTGGGGGGAGGAGGTGGGCGAGGCTGTGGTCACTTGTACTCGTAATACTCGTGAAGAGCCGTAGCTCTTCTTGTCTCTGATGTAGGGAACAGAGTCCAAAACTATCTAGGGACTGACTATAAGATTGACAAGGCGCTATTATAGACAATGCTCTATTATAGACAATGCTCTCTTCTGAACACATTCTAGGTCGTCGCTAAGGTATTCAGGAAGGCTGCGATGGAAAACAGGAGTGCCGTATTCTAGAACAGGCCTTATTACAGTGCAATAGAATTGAATGATGTCTCTGTGGCTGACGCCGGCCCTCTTAAGAAGGGCCGGTTAGAAAATACAAACGGTTATTGGCTGGCCTTCTTAATAGATTCATTTACATGATAATTCCCCTTAAGATCGTTAGCTATCGTAACCCCTAAAATTTTAACTGAGCTTTGGATAGATCTTTTCCACCTACTCGCCTTAGTAACGCTCCTCCTGCACCTCGATGAATAACTCATTAGGTACAAGGAAACTAAATATTTAGTATTTGATTGAAAATGAGGTATTGTATTAGTTATTAAAAATCCACGAAATCAATGGACTTGATACTTAGAATTGTTTGCTAAAACAGAGTCCTGAGTGGGATG